CCTGTATATTTGTGCGACCATGCTTTAATTCTCTCTTCCATTGTTTGACAGTCTTGTATGATGGACATCCTCTCCATACACAGCTGGCATCTCTTTATGGATTATTTGGGCAGATTTCCCTTGAAGGTGAAGGAACCTAATTACGGCTCGGTATTCAACTTTGTCCGGCATGACACCTACTCCATTTCTCTTGGCTCCAACTGAAATTCACCACGACCTACAAAAACTAAAATTGGCATGCATATTACTAAGATATCCACCTATAAAACTGCAAAATTTCAGATCCCTAGCACATCTAGATCATGGTGAGGGTAAGAACTTATTGGCCTCCCCTCGTACTTTGTCATCGGGTTAATATTATTGTAGCACTTAAAAACAAGCACTTAACCCTTGCAGTGCGGGGTAGCCCCAGTGCAAGGGTTAAGATTTCATATGCTCGGAATTCTTTTTTCAGATAGCAAAGTAATACATACATTGTATTTTTGGGAGAAACCAGGCTCTTTCTTGGCAATATTGTTTTGCAAAAATTATTTTATTTTCTATGGAATCCATCAACCAAAGGACATTAAAAAACCCCTTAAAAATCAGTTTTTTTTCTGGTTAGAATAGTATACGTTTTAATAAAAGTAGTTTTACTGTAAACAAAAAGTATACATTTTATTATATAACGTGTCCTTTTTAAACAGGGCAGCCATCAGAAATTGTGGGGTCCCTTACACTTTAGGCCGCCCCCCCCGCAGCTGGACATGGGGCTCAGTGACGCGCTGGACGCAGGGCTTAGTGACGCGCTGGACGCAGGGCTTAGTGACGCGCTGGACACAGGACCGACCTGTGAGTGACCCTGCAGAGCCCACCATAGATGCTGCACAGCCCATCTGAGACTGTCTATGGTGAGCTCTGAAGGGGTCTCAGGTGGACTGGTCAGGGCTGCATCCCCCTTCCTCCTTTACTTCCTTCCTAGCTCCTCTTACCTGCACACATCTGCCGCCGGACAGGCCAGAAGTGACGCCACGTCACTGACGTGACGTCACGTCCGGCCAGTTCGACATCAGACGAGCAGCATCGCTGATGGGGCCCCAGCATGTCTCGAAGCCGCTGCAGTGGCAATGCTGGGGCCCTGCGCTGCTCCGCCTCCTCGCCCTTCACCGTCGGCCGATAGTCATGTATTGGACCAAGTCTGGTACAAAGCATGGCAACGTGATCTGTAAATGGAAAAAAATGTTTTGTTTAATGTGACAGTGAAAACAATAACAAATAAAATGAATGAAAACAAAATTAATATATATCAATGTTTTGAAAGAAAGAAAACTGACTTTAAAAGTTTGTTTGTTTTAGTATGGCCCCAGGGCTTTTCCATAAACAAGAGGTTAGGAATAAAAATACATTTATTTTACACTCCTGGAAAATTTGTTATTTAAACAAATTTGTTAAATTTGTTATATCCTCAATGTTTACAGCAGAAAATACCTTCAGGTTTGATTTCAGTAGCTCGGTTCCCTCTTCCCAGAAGTGAATAAGCAGGTCTGTTAAGGTGTATGTCCAGTCAAGACTGCGGCATACAACCTTTGAGTGAGCAGAACCTGTTTTTTTTAATGAACCCCTCCCCCAGACCAGTGCCTGTATCACCAATGTGGAGACACCTAGGCTGGAGCTGTAGTATCTGCGCACAGACAGGATTAACGAGGAAACCGCCATTTATTTACAAAGTCCATGGTAGTAAATGATGGGTGTAATATTATTAACAGTCACAATTAACGATTTAAACGAAATACTTTGTAAATAAATCGCAAGCGCAGATGCTGAGGTCAGCAAATTCGACTACGTCTGCATTCTCGACAGAACACCGGTATCTGCGTTTAGTATCGGGGCATTTTCACGAGTATGAGTACTGGAGTTGGAGTTTAAAGGATGCTCAGTTGTTACTAAGGGGCCCAAAGTGTGGCAAGAAAATATCCCCCCACTACCACCACCATTAGATCACCACCAGCCTGAACCGTTGATACAAGTCAGGATAGATCCATTCTTTAATGCCAAATTCTGACCCGACCATCCAAAAGCCACAGCAGAAATTGAAACTCATCAGACCAGGCAATGTTTTTCTAATCTTCTATTGTTCAGTTTTGGTGAGCCCTTGTCTATTGTAGCCTCAGTTTCCTGTTCTTAGCCAACAGGAGTGGCACTCGGTGTGGTTTTCTACTGCTGTAGGCCATCTGCTTCAAGGTTGGACGTGTTGTGCATTCATAGATGCTCTACTGCAGGCCTCAGTTGTAACTTATTTTTATTATTATTATACAGGATTTATTATACAGTTTGCGCAGTGCTTTACAATATAAGGAAAACGTTACAGTTACAATACAAGTGAAGACAAGATGGTAAGGAGGGCCTTACCCCTGAGAGCTTACAATCTAAAAAGGGAGGGATAAGTGATACAAGAGGTGGTAGCTGTGTGGGGATGAATTATTTGAGAACGTGATGGTTCAGTGGTTAGGTTGAGGCGGGATTGGCTTCCCTGAGGAGATGAGTCTTTAGGGAACGCCTAAAGGCATTCAGAGTAGGAGACAGAGTTGGGGTAGGGAATTCTAAAGAATGGGAGAGACTCTAGATATGTCCTGGAAGTGAGCATGGGAGGATTTGATGAGGGAGCATTTTACAATTAGGGTTATACTTTGAGATGAAGTTTGAACTATATCCGGGGGCAGAGTTGTGGATGGCTTTGTAAGTGGTTGGTAATATTTTGGATTTTATCCTTTGGGTGATTAGGAGCCAGTGGAGGAAGTAAGGAGTGGCTATCTAAGTTACTGTTGCCTTTCTATCAGCTTGAACCAATCTGGCCATTCTCCTCTGACCTATGACATCAACAAAGTATTTTCGCATAGAGAACTGCCGCTCACTCAATATTTTCTCTTGTTCAGATCATTCTCTGTAAACCCGAGAGATGGTTGTGCGTGAAAATCCCACCATATCAGAAATTTGTGAAATACTCGATCAGCCTGTCTGGCAGTAACAACTATGCCACATTCAAAGTCACTTAAATCACCGCTCTTCCCCATTCTGATGCTCAGTTTGAACTTTAGCAGATTGTCTTGATCATGTCTACATGCCTAAATGCATTGACTTGCTCCTGTGCAATTGGCTGATTAAATATTTCCATTAACGAGCAGTTGAACACGTGTACCTAATAAAGTGGCCAATGAATGTAAGCCGGTAATGGATAAAGGATCGTCTGCAAGAGTTCAGTTCCTCTTTAAAGCCAGAAGCTATATGCATTTTTTTCCTCCACTCTCTGTAGCTATAGTCCGAAGTTTTCCCATGATAATCATATTTATTACACGTACCAGCTGCAGAAACAGTGGTAGTTGGCCTTTAGTAGTATTGACTACTCAGATGGGGCAATTTGTTACTTATTGTATCACAAATCTGTTCCACACTGAACTCCTAAGAAACTGGGGAAATGAAAGAGCCGTACAGGCCACAAACAGTCATCTGTGGAGTCAGCTGAGGAGCCACACACAGCACAGAATTCACAGAATAAGAAATGTAAAGAACAAAACCGAAAACCATGTTTTTTTGGAAGAAAAGTTTTAAAAATATCAGTTCTACAAGTGTATGTAGAGGCAAAAAACCCATAACAACAATAAATACATACACTTTTTCCCATGTTTTATCCCTTTAAATGTTGCAAGGGCAGAAACGTATATAGCTATAGCTAGTAAGTTTTATTTATAACCATCCAAAATATTTTCACTCTGTTGGCTTGTTTGTTTTTTGTTTATTTTGTACCCGGACTCTTATCATATCACACCTGAATCTCCTAATGGGAGTCATACCATATATTCTATTAGTACAGGCACTCCCCGGGTTACGGACAAGATAGGGGCTGTAGGTTTGTTCTTAAGTTGAATTTGTATGTAAGTTGGAACAGGTAAATTTTTTTAAGTGAACTCCAGCCCCCAAATTTTTGTTTGTTTTGGATAGCATAGGGAAACGTTAACCCCCTATAAAGTTTGTTTTGCTGTGTGTCAGTGGCGGAGCTAAGGAACAAAGGTCATTTTGTTAATAGTTGCGCCACTGCTACCACCCATAGTATCGGGTGTCTGGCATCCCCATCTTGCCATAGGGACCCATGTAGCGTGGAGAGTGGGGCGGAGAAACCAGCATTATGTATGTACAGCACTACGAACCAGACCCAAAAAGGCAGGCACTGCACGTCGGCACGAGTGCAGTAGCATTACAACTACCCCTGCTGTACCGTAATAGCCTCCGTTTGTAAGTAGGAGTTGTATGTAAGTCGGATGTTTGTAACTTGGGGACTGCCTGTACAGCCATATGTTTTCATTTCCAGTTGTCTAATAGAAAATATGTTCTTTCCCTTACCCTGCTTATAATTAATAAATCTCTTATACTTACACCAATCAGCCATAACATTATGACCACCAGCCTAATATTGAGTAGGTCCCCCATCAACACAGTCCTGACCCATCAAGGCATGGACTCCACTAGACCTCTTAAATAATCTTTTCTATCCTCAGGGGTGTCCCGAGGCCGGGTGTCATCCGGAGCGGATACCGGATGACACCCCACTGCGACGTCATCACGCATGCACTGTCATCTAATTGATACCTGCCGGCGGCCATCTTGGTGATGGACACCAGCAGAGAAAGGAGGGGACGTTCACCTGGCAGGATAAGGTATGCCACCGGGTCCCCTCCTCTCTCCTGAAACTGTCAGGCTCTGGATCTATGACCGAGTGCCAGACTTTTCAAAGGGGGTGACACCAAAATGGCTGTCATATTAGTGTCATATTAGTGTCACCCCTCCAATGGTGTCACCCGGGTGCAGGCTGCACCCCCCACATCCCCCTTGTGACACCACTGTCTGTTCTCTCTAGTAAAGGAGCCCCAATCTTCCTCTCTTAATCTTTTCCTTCCCTCCAGAGTTCTGCAGAGTTCAGGAAGGTATAAAGTACCAACAGCTGACCATTCTTTATTATTACTTTATAGCTTCTTGCCATTCGCGGACCCTTCCAAACATGGGGACCTGTTATAGATGGCTTCTACCTGAGGGACACACCAGCAAGGCTTCTCCAGCAGAAAGCTGCCCAGAATATAGACTTGTTTATTGGAAGTACTGAGCATGACGGGCTGATCAGCAGGGCCAAAGCTATTAAGGTAAGTGTTAGGAAAAATACATATAATTTTTATATCCTACACAAGTAATTGTAGGACTTAAAGTGGTGCTGTGAGCAACCTTCCAAATCTTCATGTCACAAAGCACAGCAAAGGATCGTTTTACAAAAAAGCTCCACGTTTTATTTTTATAAAGCTGTCTTTGAACTCCAGTTCAGTAACTTTGCCTACTCTGAAATGATGTCACCACTCTGCTGCGGGAAGGAAGAAGCATTTTCTCAGCCCCCCCTGCCCCAGTAAGCAGATTGACTTTGTAATATCCCTTTCGCACACCGTACCGATGTACCCCAAAATCCAACGGGTACTGGAGCAACTGGTGGATGACGCCACAATATACAATCTAGAAGATATGTTGTCCGCACACTATTCTGCTTCGGAATGTCCTTTTTATTTGTATTCCTTTACCATGACGTGAATGCATTCACATGTCATGCTAAAGGAATACGAATTAAAAGGACATTCCGAAGCAGAATGTTGTGCGGACAACATATCTTCTAGTAAGCAGATTGAAACGCTGTATCAAGTCACAAGGTGAGAGGCTTCAGCAGGGGCTGATCTGTGTCACTTTTGTAACCAGAGCCAAGAGCTGCATAAGCACCAGGATTTACATGATGGTGTCATTTCTGAGCCGACATCTCAGTCCATGAAGTAGATGCTGACTCTGGATGGTAGCAGAACAAAGATGATCACATGAATCTCAAGGACTTCTCAATGATGTTGGCTCCACGCTTCTGAAAAGAAAAGCAGATGGAGGCATTATCAAGGGAGTACCATGATTTTTGTGATTGGTAATAAATCCCGGGATGTGTTACAAATACATAGCATTAAAATTTATATCTGGTCCACTTTAATTTTAATAAAATGACCTTTCCATCCCAATCTACAGCCTGCTTTGATTTTCAAAAACTGGCAAACATTCAACAACTGCTTGCAGAAGTGCTGTTTTTGACCTGCTGCTTTATTTGCATAGCAAGCCCTGGCTGTCATATTGACAGCCTGGAGTTGACGGTAATAACAGCAGGCATTGGAGGCGGTGGGTTTGGGCAGGGACAGAGCATGCTTTGTGTGCCCTGTGTACTTCGGGGGACCTGTTAATGAACATGAGCTGCATTCATTTGTGACTTTTAAATCTGCCTGGAATCCAACCCAGTCTGAACATGTGCCATGCCTGTAACCAGTGGCGTAACAATAGCCATAGCGACCCAGGTGGCCGTTATGGGGCCTGTATCACAGAGCCCCATACAAAATTTTGCTATGGGGCCCTGTGATTTCTAGTTACGCCTCTGCCTGTAACCTTCCAGTCACTGACCCTTCCAAGAACATGGGGATCTTTTGTATAAGTAAGGGCCAGTCTTTCTAGGAAAGCACATTTGTACTAAACTGTATCTATTGGCACATCTGCCCTGTGCGTGTCAGCTATTGGGACTTGTCAGGAAATATATGTTCCATTAGTCAGCATGCTTTTCTAACATTCGTACTGCTGACAGAGATTTACAATAGATTTCACCTCTTTTTTTTTTTTCTGTGTGACATTTAGCCAGCACGCATATGCAAATATGAAGTCTCAGACTGTAATCATGCTCAAGAGTCTTGACTCAAACCAAGAGTTTTCTTCAAAGGACGACTTAAAGTGATATTAAAGTCAAAGGGGGTTATTCACTAAAAGGTGAAGAGTTTGGAGAAGGCCGGAGAAGGGAGCAATAGCTGATGTGGAAACATTCTCCAATTCAGCTCACTTTCCAGTTCAGCTATGTTGTCCTAGATTGGTCACTTCTCCTGCCTTCTCCAAACTCTTCACCCTTTTGTGAATAACCCCCAAAATGTTTTTTTGAGAGCGTATTCCTACTTTAAAACAGACCTGGCATCAGCTAATTTTTTGGATGAAGTCCATGCATGCTAAGTGTCAGTGCAACCCTTCCAGGTATTTATTACTTCTCACAGAGATCACAGTACTCCCCTTGACAATGCCTTCATCTGCTTTTCTATCTAAAAAGACAAAACCATCTTTATTCAGGCATCATCCAGGGTCACCACCTACATCTTGGACTGAGATGCTAGCTCAAAGATGATGCAATCATGTAAACTCTGCACCTGTGCAGTTCTTGGATGTGTTCCCAAATGTCTGACTCAGATCACTGTCACTTTGTGACTTGTTACAATGTTACAGTCTGATCATAGGAGGAGAGTAGATTTAGGCCTCATTCTCATTCTTTCCGGCCCGATTCTGGCACATTATGCCTGCGGTCCAGTCCAAACCAAATAGTGCTTGTAGCATTTTGTTCGGACCTGGCAGGACCAGACCGCAGGTATAATGTGCGGCAGATGGCATTGCGGCCGGAGGGCGTGCCTACGGTGCCATTCACTTCAATGGACCGCCACGCCCCCTCCTGCCACACAACATAGTAAGTCGGCCGCAATGCGATGCAGTGCGTTCTGGCCAGAATTGGGCCGAAACGCACTGTGTCTGAGACTGTAATCATGCTCAAGAGTCTTGACTTTTCTTCAAAGGATGACGATATATATATAGGAACGAGGCCTGAGACTTCCTGCCAGCAGCTGACTGATTACATTTTCTCAAGGACTGCTCAAGGATTTTTTTTTTTTTACTATAAAAGGAGGAACTATTGTGAAAAATGCTGCTCCTGCTGTATAGTATGGTATGTCAGGAACAGACTTGTAAAGTTACTCATGGGTCAGCTTCACATTACAAGGTGGCACACATGGACAGGTCATGATGATGTAGGAGAGCTTTATATATATATTGTGACCTTAGAGCTTCCAATTGATTTGTCTATTAATGTTCTCATTCATTCAGGTGATGGTATAGCTAGTAGCACTTAGTCACATTCAACTGGACTTGTTCTGTAATGTTGAAGTTATTTCATAGCTCATCCAAGCCACTTCTTCAGTTCTAATAAGTTTCAAGAACATAGTCCACCATTTATATCCAGACAGGTAGCACAAGAACCTTAATCCAATTACCATGGAATGTGTCAAGGCAAATGTTGACAGGATGGGAGGTGTAAAAAATTGTGGAACCACCCTGTTCTAGTTACATAATTCCATCCTTGGTGTCAGGAAGTCTGCATAGGTGTTAATCTTTCAATTTACAGTGCTGAAGGTGGGAATTGTTGTCAAATCGCCAGGCTGTAGATGTTAAAACAGCTTTATATGTGAAAAACAACTGGTTCGAAAGAGGCCATCTATGACAAACTGGGACAACAATCCCTCTACAGGGGTGGGGGCCTTCTAAACCATCTGTCATGCACATCCAATGCGCATCTCTACCTCTGTGGTAGAGGTAGAGGATTAACACCTATGGAGACTACCTGAAAAATAGGATTGGACTATATCACTACAACAGGTGATTCCACAACCTTCACGCCTCCCATCCTGTTCTTGGGCAATCAACATCTGCCTTGACACATTCCATGGTGACTGGATTAGGCTGTCTGTGCTACCTGTGTGGATATAAATGTTGGAGTATGTTCCTGACACTAATTATCACTGAAGAAGTGGCTTGGAGAAGCTACGGACCGTCTTCAACATTACAGAGCAAGTCCTGCTGAATGCCACTTACTACTACTAGTTTTCCCAATGGGATTCCTCATTTATTTTGGCTCCCTCAGTTTTAACATTTATGTCAGTGAAGTGACACTCTGTCCCACTTTATAAACAATAGAACTGCTATTAAGGTTCTTTTTACAAGGCAAACACATTTTACTGTGAAACACAACATTGTTCTGTGACCCAGAAAAGACCAGAAAACCCCAGAAAACAGGAAAGGCACAACTGAATATTCCAAAATTGATCTACCCAACGGAATGTTCTGGAACAAAATGTATTCTTTGGAAATGGAGATTCCTTTATTTATCAAAAGCCTTTTTTAAACTCTTAAAGGCCATTTGAAATCTCAGACCTTTTTTATAGGCATGTCCCCTCTGCACGTTATGTCTTGTGACTGATTTTTGCTTGAAATTGCTTTTATATTGCATTTTCTCTCAGTGAAAATACTAATTTCTGCCCTCTCATTGCAGAGGTCTGTGTTGATATAGCTGAGTAACAGCCACACCCCTCATTACAAGTGTTATGCTTCAAAGAAGGGTGGGGTGGTCATCTGACCAGGACTGTTACAGGCAAAGCTCATTGTCCTCATGTTGATGAGGACAAGGGCTTCCTCCCTACAACTCTGATCAATCGGAATCTGGAAAGCGGCCTTTGAAAATAAAGGGGGCCCCAGATGCAACCTATTCATTCCCAAGAAAGTAAGCAGTAAATAAAGTAGAGGTGCACCGAAATTAAAATTTCAAAACCGAAACGAAACCGAAATAAAATAAAATGTCAGGCCGAAACCAAAATTGTTTTTTATTTTAACTTTTTCAATTTTATTTGTATTTATTTTTTATAAACGTTTTAATTTTTTGTATTCATTTTTATTTATATATTCATTTTTTATTAAATATTTTTATTTTTTACTTTATTTTTAGGCGCTAAACAGACCCCTGATATTTCCCTTTTAAAATAGAAAAAGAGATTGAGGACATGAACAGAAATCCTCTATACTGAGTGTTCCTGTTCATTTATAACATGAGGACAGAGTATGTTTACTATAAACACAATCATGAATGTACAGGAGGTGATGTAGATCACTTCCCATTCATATAATTGAGAATATAGTAAACATACTCTGTCCTCAATCATGTACAAACACTCAGCGATCACTGACTGCTTGTACCCGCTCTCCTCTCTGACACGCTGTCACAGGAGGCTGAGTGAGCGTTGCAGGGAGGAAAGCTCAGCCTCCTGTGACAGCGCTACAAGCTGTCTCCGCCCCCACACACCGCTCTGCCGATCTGTCGCAGGAGGCTGAGCGGTGCGGGGAAGAGAGACGCCGGCCGCTTACAGCACTCTCCTCCTGCAACGCTCGGTTGTCTGTGACAGTTTATCTCCTCCCCACTGGGACACAGAGCAGCCCCCAGCGGGAGGAGAGAATACACAGATGCACCGCTGCATTTAGCCAAAAGTGCCATTTTCGGCCGATAGGTTTCGGCGGCCGATATATCGATGCATCCCTAAAATAAAGGCATCCAAACATTTAAAAAAATAAAATAAAAAACCCAAAAAGAGTCCTGTGTTGCACATGTATCAACAATCATGCTGTCCAGCCATGTAAATCCTTGTCAATCATGATCAATGACTCCACCAATGATAAAGAGAAAAAATTTGCCGGCCTGCCTGCACCACTGGCCACTTGTTGAATGAAGGAAGGAAAGCAGAGGGAGTAGTAGTGACATCACTTACTAAATGTGGTCAAGGCAATATTTGGTCAGTGATGTCACCATTCTCCCTGCCCCTTTGCTTACATGGTCGGGGATCCCAGCTGTGTAAGTGAATGGGATGGGTGACATTAGTGATTGCTAAGGACTCCTGGACCTGCCACTGCCTTAGCAACCATTGCCCACAGGAAGCTGTCATATATACTAGCGGCAGATACAGTACACCGCTATTATATATAGTGTTTAGACAAATACCCAAACAAGCATAGTTTGGGCAGAACCTGTGTTCAGACCAAACTTGTAGCTCACCCTACTTGAGCCGCAAAAGAGACGCAAAGCTAAGAAAAAAAAAACACTTCCTTTGTACAGTTGAAATCATATTACTCGTTTGCTGATACACATTTCATTACGCTATGGGTTCCCACCATGCAGAAACATTGCAATACTTACCTCATTGAAGGAGCGTTGATTTGTACAAATATTTGGAAACCTGTGTGAGTCAAATATTGTCAGAACTCTCTGTAATAAAACATTATATCACATTAGAGGTCCATGCGATCAACGATACAAGGTTGAACCATTTTTGGTAGAATTTACAGACCTCATCTGTATACATTGGCAACAAGTTTTATGACCAAACATTTATGTGAACCGAGAAGTATGGAACACGAATCCTTGATGATGACGACATATTATTAAATATTATGCATATAGAAATATATTATGTATATAGATGTACAGTATACTATGTATATAGAACATTTGTAGATGAATGGAGCAAGCTGTGTAATGTGATATATCTACAGAGGTGATTTTACTATGCTGCACAATAACATTACAGTTTACTGGAAAAGTGATGCTGGGCTTTAAAGCGGGCCTGATATGAACTAATTTAACATTTATTAGATAAACAAGAATATTTTGCTTTTACTTACAATTACTGTTTTTCCACTTCCTGGTCCTAAGTGATGTCATCTGGGCCTAATAGATGCATTCTGAGAAGACTGCATCACAGTAAGGACAGTCCCTATAATGAGCCAGCTTGAGACTCTTGCCTTCAGGCGGTATCTCCTTGGGTCACGTGGGGGGCGGCAGGCAAAGCGGGATGGCTGCTCTGCTGCACAATGTTTGCAGTGTGCCTGCCGCCCCCTTTCCTGCCAGAGCATCCCAGGTTACTAAGATTTAGGCGGGCAGATGTGAAAGGGCCATACACATCTCCATGCCCAGCTGTTAGCAACCTGGGGTGCTCTGACCAGCATCCTGCTGAGCTCCTGGCAACAAGTAATATCACAGGTTGGCAGGAGCTTAGCGGGATGCTTTCCAGATCATCCCAGGTTGTTAAGAGCTGGGCGTGGAAATGCAGAGCTCTTACACATCTCTATATCTGTAAAAAAAAATCAGTCAAGGCAACTGGACTTGCTATATTTTTTTTTTCTTGAAGACGTTTCACTGAACATCCGACCAGCTTTCTCAAATACAGCTTTCTCTTACACATCTCCCCACCCAGCTCCTTATTGGCATCAGTCTCCACCAGCCCCTTCCCTTCCTACTGATTCTGTACCATCCAGCCCCAACTCCCTCCCCCCTTACCGCCACCCTGAGGCAGCAAAAAGGCTAGGGACTCCCCTGATAACAGTGCATTGCTGGGAAATCTCATCTGTAAACTCCAAAAACTTGCAACATCTTAGGGAAAAGCCATGTTCCAGTCACATGTGTCAGATTTCCAGGAAGTGAAGGGAGATGGGGCCATGTGCTCTTAGTAAAAATGAGAAGGATGGAGAGAAAAATTAAACTAAGCTATGTAAAGAATAAAAAGGCAGCAATTATCTAGAAGTATCTGTTTGTAGATTGCCATTACGTAAGGGGGCCCGTGGACTTTTTTTTTTTTTTACATATCTCAGGATTCAGTTCTGTCAGACAGCACAGTTTCTTCTTTTTGGTATCCACTTCCTGTCCCTTTCCACTTCCTGTAAATGGAACATTAGGTAACCTTACATGCAGGGAAGAGGGGGCTGATGACAGTATATCATGAATATTGTGACACTCACCTCACGAATGATAAAATGACCTCATGTTTCAGCTCTCTCTGGTGTTACATAGACTTTTTTTTGCGGATTGTGTTCTGAATTTGTTGTTACATGGTAAACATGATTTTAGTAATAAGGGTTTTATATCTCATCAGAGCACACAAGTGTCATATAGACCCATCTATACCCCCCAAAATAAAATAAAAAACACTTATGTGGAGTAAAGCATGGGGACCGATGAGACAGAATAACCAGATGAGTTATAGTAAGGTGAATAAAAAAACAGCCATGGGTTCTATCAGTGGTGAGTGGACTAGCCTGGGTTTGGTTTGCTTGGACGTTCACTGAACCCAGCCGGAAATTTGGGTTTGCCTAACTTCCAAGAGAAACAAACTCAGGGACGCCTTTGTCCTAGCAACTAATGGCACTGTGCAACCCACATACGTGGTTGCTAGAATGCCATCAGCTGAGCCAAACAGAATCACTGGATGCTAGGATGCAGGTGGACACACCTTAATAACCAATGACTCTCTGGGGCTGCCAGAATCTTAGCAACCAATGACTCTATGTGGGCCACTGGTTTCTAGGAAGCAGATAAGTGTACTATAATAACCAATGGTGCTGTGGGGCCACCAGCATCTTAGCAACCAATGACTGTGTGCCCATTGGTTGCTAGGATGCAGACGGGTGCACCATAATAACCAATGGCGCGGTGTGGCCACCAGCATCTTGGCAACCAATGACTCTATGTGGCCCACTGGTTGCTAGGATTCAGGCAGGCACACTCTAATAACTAATGGTGCTGTGGGGCCACTTGCATCTTAGCAACCAATGACTCTATGCAGCCCAACAGTTGCTAGGATACAGACGGGTGCACCATAATAACCAATGGCGTGGTGCGGCCACCAGCATCTTAGCAACCAATGACTCTGTGGCCCACTGGTTGCTAGGATTCAGATAGGCACACTATAATAACCAATGGTGCTGTGGGGCTGCCGACATCTTAGCAACCTATGACTCTTTGCAGGCCATTGGTTGCTAGGATGCAGATACAGGTGCTCTATAATAACCAATGGTGCTGTGGGTCTGCCAGCATCTTAGCAACCAATAACTCTATCCGGCCCATCGGTTGCTACCATGCAGGTAGGCACACCATAACAACCAATGCTGCTGTGGGGCCACCAGTGTTTTTTAGCAACTATTGTGTGGTCAACACAGCATTCATAGTGGCTAAGGCGCCTCTAAATAAGGGACAGTTGGGAGCTGTGCATAATCCACTGTACCCCAGAACTTACACCAGGGGAAGGCAACCTTAGCACTTTAGCTGCTGTGTAACTACAAGCTTTTTTACACAGAACAAAACACTTTCAATGGTATTTTTAACAGACCAAAAATGGAGCAAATAAAAGAATTGAATTGTTCATTGTTAGAATTTATCTAAAGTTGAATTGCTTACCTGCAACAGAATAAACTGGGGTCACCCTCTTGGATATGCAGTGCACCTGAGGTTGATGAATAACATGACATTTGCCCTCCTTTTATAATAGATTGCTCCATAAAAAACATCTCCTATCTAACCCCCTGATGTATTTTTGGAAATCCAATAAAAAAATAGAGTGACGGTTTTACTGTTACTGCATGAGAGCCAACAATTTCCCATTGATGCCCAATGCCCGATGAAGACCATTGCGGGAACTTCTCTTGGTCATACTTCCAGCTTTATAGGATCTGTCTCTTGTTCCACCAGAGATTTGAAGAAAGTCAAGGCCGAGGAGACAGCAAGATGTCATTCTATCAGGCTCTGCAGAACTCCTTAGGAGGTGAAGAGAGGAACCCGCTCGTCCAAGAGGCCGCTGTTTGGTTCTACTCTCTTCAGCATTCCACAGATGACTATTCCAGCTTTTCCAGAGCTTTGGAGAACTCCACCCGGTAAGTGGAACCCTCTGAGACCATCAGCACTATGACCTATAGTGCAGGGGTAGGCAAACTCCAACCCTCCAGCTGTAGGGAAACTACTAATTCCATCATGCATCTGCTTCTGGGAGTCATGCCTGTGGCTGTCAGAGTCTTGCAGTGCCTCATGGGATTTGTAGTTGCACCATAGCTAGAGGCAGGGCCGGATTTCCCACAAGGCCAACCAAGGCCCAGCCTTGGGGCAGCAGGGAGTAGAGGGGCAGCAGGGGTGTGAAATTCCTATCTCCCGATGCCCGGGACATGCAGTTTCGGGCGTCGGGCGGGTAGTTGTTTTCTACATTTAGCCCTGCCTTGGGCAAGCAGAGCCAAATGTACAGCGGGGAAGCCAATGCTTGTTTTGTACAAGTGATCCCGGCGATGTCTGCCATA